ACCAATATGAAATAAGAAGGAAATTTTTGGTAGGAAGGAAAATAATAATTTATATGCATATTTTATTAGCAAACAAACAAAATGAATCATTAGATGATTCAAAAGTAAAATGATTCAAAAGAAAAAAAAAGTTCACATAAGACATCTTAATGATTCATTTTAAATAAATCAAGAAACATTTATTTTTACAGCAATTTTAATAAATATCAACAAAATCATAGTAAAAATTAATCATTGAGATGTTTGTTGGGATTTTTCTAGTGAATAATGTTATTTTTTATTCATATAGTGATTGATTTGTATCGTTTGCCAAAATACATGGAGAGAGAGAGAGAGAGAGATTATGAAGCAGAAATGATTATATACTCGAAAAATTATGTTACAATGGTTATAATTTAATGATCACAATTTCTTATTCTAGTTGAATGATCTATAATATTTTTGTCTTGATCATAATTTCTTATTCAAGGTAGAATGATGTATAATATCATGCCTTGGAAGTAGGGGTGTCGAACGGGTAAAATTTTCGGGTTTCGGGTAGAACGGGTCGGATAGAACGGGTATTTCCTTAAGAAAATAATACCCGATACCCGACCTATATTGTAATTCGGGTTTTCGAGTTTCAGTTATTCGGGTTTGAGGTCGGGTTGGGTAATTATCGGGTATACCCGAAAATTTCTTAAATGACACTTATTGATAAATTTTTTTACATGTTGGTTGGTTTAATAAAGAATCGGGTAGGAAAATACTCCATACAATTAACAACAATACAAATCATTATAATATGTTATGTACTTTTTTAATTCCATTCCGTGCGATAGTGAGAAACTGAGAATTATGATGACGGTTTAGGACTTCAGCTTCTACGTCGTATTCCATTTGCAAGTTTGCGTCGACTGTCGAATCACCGTTCATAAGAAGGAAACGAATGGTTTTGTTTTATTTGAAGTGTGCGTACGTGACTGCATTGTATATTTGGTATTATTTAAAAAATGAATTCGGGTATTCGGGTATACCCGAAAATAAATATTCATACCTAAAATCCGACCTATATTATTATCGGGTTAACCTATTACCCGAATGTTCATACCCGTTACCCGTTCTACCCGAATTCGAAACGGGTCGGGTGGGTAGAACGGGTTTCGGGTTTTTTCGACAGGCCTACTTGGAAGTATATAAATATTGATTTCAAGTTATAGAAAGTTTAAATTTACTCAGTTTGTTGTGTTTTTAAATAACAACCAAATAATAAAAACTAAAAAAAAATGAAAATGATCGTTTCTGGCGAGGGTTAAATCCCATCTATTAATAATATCTATCTGCTATATTTTACGTACGTAATAAACTCTTTAAGAGTTTATTTGTTTAAATATTGTTTAAACAATAAGACTAAGAACAACAACGAATCATAGCTACCATGGTTACGGACTCAACAGATGATCAGTAATGTGTGGACTTTAGAGGTGCTATATACTCCAAACATAGCCTTAATTTTGAAAATTGTGTGGACTTTATTATAATTGTTAGGTTCAAAGTAACTCCTATCAATGATCCCTTAATTTGTAGGTGCTTTTGTTTTTAGAAACGGATGTTTATTAGAGATTTTGGATTAAGAACTTGGGTCCTGGCTGCTAACCATTTTGACCCAGGAAGAAATTAAAAAAAAAAAGGTTTATCATAATTTAGTGAACGAATAAAAATGATTGCAATTGACCTTAGATAAGTTGACTTTCTTTCCGTGGGGTGAAAGTGCTACCGACTAAACCAACCTAATTTATAAATACTATGTACTTAGCATTATGAATATTCATCTTTCTGATCACCAAGTATTGCCTTCCAGATGAGGTTGGTTGCTTATTTCTTTTCAAAACCTATTCTTCTAACATGAAATGCCATAACACGAACATCATTTTCATGATCATGTGTTCTTTTTTCATGAAAGAAAACTTATCTCAAGTAGCTAGGCAAAAATGTTTATCGTTATTACTTACTTTTATCAAGCTTCTCCCGTTTGATC